ACAGAGCAAATATAGCACTATGTTACCTGCACACAGAAGGAGATGCAGGCCATATCTAATATTTCACAACTGAACTTGATAACCTGTGAAGGAAGTGCTTTTTGTTTGGCTTTATCCAAAATTATGCAGTACCGGCACCTTTATCTGTTCTGGGAAAACTGCAATGGTTGGAGGCACCATGTCACTGACACTGTATGAAACATTTCAAGAGACAAATACATTCTGAAATATACTGTTGTTTCATCAGTGACATTTTCATCCCCAAAGAAGGGACATCAGTCATTTACAAAGTAATAATGCCATACAAATAATGCACAGGACAGGTGTTCATATTTACTTGCATTCATCGACCTAAGAAGTGCAGGCATGCGAATTCCTGAAAATAGCAGCAATAAACAACGGCATTATGGAGGTAATGAAAGTCGAATGGAGCACATTATTTGACGAGTCAGCAATTAACGATGTTGCCGGGCCAGTATCTTAAGATCAGATGATAAAATCAATGCAGACGTGACCTTCTGCACGTTTATAGCTATAATAAAAATTGTTTCTCAGCAGTTTGGTTTGCTTATGACACAAACTGGCAGACTCATGCACAGAGTCATAGTCTAGCATGGGATAATGCGTTCACAGAGAACTTCTTGACGTCTCCAAACATTAAATAACAGCCCTGATCACATTTTTTACTTTTGGTTCAAATCAAAATGCACTGGAATTTTTCTTTTATAACTGACAGTGCAACCGCTATGATATTATTAACTATGTCCCTAATCAAGTGCTCACTGGTCTATACAAATGTATGTGAAGCGCCATGGCAAACTGTAACTTTTTAAATCTATATACTTATATATATATATATATATATATATATATATATATATATATATATATATATATATATATATATATATATATATATATGTTCCAAATTATAAATCTCAGAAAGTTCTTCACTGATTGCTTTGAAATTTTGAAACACCGTTGTATTCTAATGCGCCGCCTTTTTCTGTATACCTACACTAATATAGACGCGATAAACATGAGAAACGTGCGCTAACTAAAATAGATAATGTTCTCCATCATATTCATATACACTGGCACTCATTGCTAACAATATGTACAAAGCCATTGTGCATTACGTAGTGATCACATGACCATACATTTCTGTATGCTTGTGTGAGGACAGTGGTAAGACGCTCTTCCCTGATATACAAGTATGCGGGTGGACCAGTTGATGGACCTTCAGTCGTCATTAAGTTTGACGATTTCGTATTGTCACATTGAATTTTCATAGATTTCGATTTATTTTCATTTTGAGGCTATCCTCAGAATAACGGGCACATATTATGGCGGCCAAAAACAGGGCATCATATGTAAATTGCGAAATTACGCAAATTACGTCGCCGGAAGTGCGCAATTCACATGTGACTGAGGCCCTGTTAGGGTGTTATTGCGGCCGCCATAATATGTGTCCGTTATTCAGAGGATAGCCCATTTTGATTTAATTATTTCGTGTGGCATTGCGTTGAAATTGAGTTGAGACTTTTATCATAGCCCTATCAAGAAGCCAAAGCTTGGCAACGGCACGCGGCATGTAGTATAACATTTAATGAGCTACGTCGTAGCAGCAACAATCTTGACAGGACCTTTCATAGGTGAAGGTGTCCTCATTCTTCACAGTCCTATGATTCCAACGGATTTGTCATTTTATTTTAAGAGATTGCAATTTCCAATTCGACCGACGTTTGCAATCTCCATCAACAAAGCGCGGGGCCAATCTTTAGAACAGTGTGGTTTAGATCTAGACACGGAGTATCACATGGACACTTATATGTTGTGAGTTTTAGAGTCGGCAAACCAGACAGCTCCATATCTGCGACCACAATGGAACAACAACAAGTATTCTATACTCAGAGGTATTGTAAAATTAAATATATTAGAAAAGTACGCTTTCTCTCTTTTTTTTTCTCTCCTTATCTAAGCAGGCGTGGCCGGGTACTGCTAGTTATCTAATATTTTCGAGTCACAATTCTTCCCTTTCACAGCTTTTTTTCCGGGTAGTATTTTTTCCCGGTGGTCACATGCGTGACAGAGATTTAGTTATCCGCAATGTTTATTTGTTCGTGTGTGTGACAAGGTGAAGCTGATTGTTTGTACTATTCGTTTGTGTTTGTGACAACGTAAAGCTGATTGTTTGTACGATTCGTTCGTGTTTGTGACAACGTAAAGCTAATTGTTTACACTATTCGGTCGTGTTTGTGACAACGTAAAGCAATTGTTTGCACGATTCGTTCGTGTTTGTTACAAGGTGCAGCTGATTGTTTGTACTATTCGTTTGTGTTTGTGACAACGTAGAGCTGATTGTTTGTACTATTCGTTCGTGTTTGTGACAACGTAAAGCTAATTGTTTGCACTATTCGTTCGTGTTTGTTACAAAGTGAAGCTGATTGTTTGTACTATTCGTTTGTGTTTGTGACAAGGTGAAGCTGATTGTTTGTACTATTCGTTTGTGTTTGTGACAAGGTGAAGCTGATTGTTTCTACTATTCGTTTGTGTTTGTGGCAACGTAAAGCTGATTGTTTGTACTATTCGTTCGTGTTTGTGACAAGGTGCAGCTGATTGCTTGTACTATTCGTTTGTGTTTGTGACAAGGTGAAGCTGATTGTTATTTCGTTTGTGTTTGTGACAACGTGACTGCTTCTACTATTCGTTTAGTTAGATATCTCTACGTGACCACGTCATATTTCCAGGGTACAGTTAATATTAAATATTTTAGAGTCCTGTTTATTGCGGCCACAAAATCTTCTGAAGGTTTAGATCAGTATTAAATATTTTAGTGTTATGTTTATAACGGGCTATCAATCCCGAAACACGCGCCAGCAGTAAAACATCTAAAGGATATTTCCCTCATGCACTGAGGCGCATTGTGTTTGGGGTGCTCATCACTATTTTTATGCCTTGTCAGAGACACAGGCAGATCTCGGTCGGCTGGATTTGGCTCAGTTCTGCTGCTGCCTTTTAACATGCAATGGAGAATATGATCGAACCAGCTTACGTCGAGCCGGCTTATTCTTAGCCATCTCCTGCAGCTCATACACCCTACCAGCATAAAAAAAGGTATTTAGCTGGTTGTCAATGTATGAGTGTTTCTTAAATTTGCAGTATGCTCCTAGCTTTTTCTTTTTGTTCTCTAGAAAATCATCTGATACTCTTCTTTCCGTTGTCTTCTATGAGTATATATATATATATATATATATATATATATATATATATATATATATATATATATATATATATATGTGTGTGTGTGTATATATGGCTGCTCGTGAGTCCCAGCCATCTAGTTTAGCCCCAACCCACGCCACGTGAGCGTTGTAGGTGATACCGGTGGCGGTAGTCGCCGGAAAACCGCAAATGAAGTGCGCAATTGTCACGTGACTGAGGCTCTGTTAGGTTTTTTGGTGGCCGCCATCTTTTGTGCCCGATATTCGGAGCATAGCCATATATATATATCATGTATATATATATATATATATATATATATATATATATATATATATATATATATATATATGAATTAGAAGAAGAAGAAAAAGAGTAGAAGAAGAGGAAGAAGAAGAAGATTAAGAAAAAGAAAAAGGAAAAGAACGGCAAGAAGAAGATGAAGAAGAAGAAAAAGAAGATGAAGAAAAAAAGAAGAAGAAGAAGAAGAAGAAGAAGAAGAAGAAGAAGAAGAAGAAGAAGAAGAAGATAGAAGAAGAAGAAGATAGAAGAAGAAGAAGAAGAAGAAGAAGAAGAAGAAGAAGAAGAAGAAGAAGAAGAAGAAGAAGATGAAGAGATGAAGAAAAAAAAAAAAGAAGAAAAGAAGAAGAAGAAGAAGAAGAAGAAGAAGAAGAAGAAGAAGAAGAAGAAGAAGAAGAAGAAAAGAAGAAGAAGAAGAAGAAGAAGAAGAAGAAGAAGAAGAAGAAGAAGAAGAAGAAGAAGAAGAAGAAGAAGAAGAAGAAGAAGAAGAAGAAGAAGCTCAAGGCCAGTCTTCAGAACAGTGCGGCTTAGATCTAACAGGAATTGCTCCTCACAAGGACAATTATATGTTGCCTGTTCTAGAGTCGGCACGTCCCTGAAACATTTTGTGTTATAATGCAGATAAACCAACGATCTTTCTACGTTCAGACGCATCGTGCTGTAGAGAAGTGTTTTATATATATATTTGAGAGATTTACTAACAAAGCGTAGAAGAAGTAAAACAAAATCATCCAACACGTGTATTGGGGGTAAAAAACACCAGCAAATGTACTGTTACTGTACTAGACTCATTACATCAGCGTATGTAGTACACGGGTATTCTATAGTTGTAAAACAGACTGACACCACCATCATTTGTTTTTTTAAAAGGTGTACATAACAGGATTACAGACGTATTACATAGGCGTATGGAGAACAAAAGAATCATGTAGCTTTATTATAGACTCATAACACCACCATATGTAGTATGAAAATACCCATAGCTGTATTATAGACATAATTACACTAGCGTATGTAGTCCACAAGTAACCCATTACTGTATTAGAGACATACATCACCACCATGAGTAATATAAAAATGCCCTATTACTGTATTGGAGACTTACAACAAAACCATATGTAGTTGACAAATACCCCATTACTGTATTGGAGACTAACAACACCTCCATATGTAGTAAAAAAAAAATACCCAATTACTGAATTAGAGACAAACAACACCACCATAAGTAATATAAAAATGCCCTATTACTGTATTGGAGACTTACAACACCACCATATGTTGAATAAAAATACCCCATTACTGTATTATAGACTTACAACACCACCATATGTAGTATAGAAATACCCAATTACTGTATTAGAGACATACAACACCACTTTACGTAGTATAAAAATACCCCATTACTGTTTTAAAGACTTAAACAACACCATATGAAGTTTAAAAACAAAAGGCGTGCCATAGCTGTAACAGAAACTTACCACACCAGCATCCCGCGAGTTGCTTTTTCCGTTACTAAAAGTGGAAGCCAAAGTGGATGAACAGGATTCGTCATAGCCAGCAGTTTGCCCGTCATTAGTAGCCGAGTTGATGCTGATGGTCCACATACTGGCAGCATAGCCATCACAATTACAATCGTCATTGGGGCCGCCATCGCCAGATGCCCACACGTATACATTGCCCAGGCCGTTTCGCCCCTGAAACCAGAAATAAGAGACATATTTCAAATCACGAAATCTGAAATGTTAAATCCTAGTGGCTCCGATTATTCGTTTCCTTCTATTGAGCTGACATGGCACTCAGACATGCAAGCCAAATATTCGCAATCGATGTTCTCAGAAAAAGCCGACCACTGAAATTGCATCTTGTCAGTGCTCAAAGCCGATTTACGACAATGTGCCGACTATTAGAGGATGTCGCAAATAAGGCGCATGAAGGCAGACAGTTCAGTGTAATTACAGTCGTTGGTCCTGCTGAGGACGGATTTTTAGGCCTCACTGTTCATACTATTAGTCAAGAAAATGACTTAAAAATGGTGCCAACATATTTCTGTTTCTACCCGAAAAATATGTAAGTGCGATGCTGTATGATGAATAATAACTATTAGTGGACTTAACGTTGTAACTAATATGGCTTCAATCAGCTTGGCAAATATCACTGGTTAACCTATGTCATATTTTAGAATGTGAGCAAACAAATTAGGAAGAGTTTGGAGGCAGCTGAGATATGGTTCTTGCGAAGAATGTTGCTAATACCTTGGACTACCAGAATAATTAACACTCATTACCTGGAAATGGTTAGTGAAAGTAGAACATTATTTACAACAATGAGACGGAGACAATGAAAGTTCTTTGGTCATATGATAAAAAAAAAAAAAAAAAAAAAAAAAAAAAAAAGGACTGGAAAATATAGTGACGTCTAGAAAGATCATTGGTAGCAGAGGCAGAGGCAGACCAAGATGGTGGATGGCTTAAGTAATTGACATGGAGGATTATCATCAGTGGAATTGATCCAGAACACCAAAGACCAAGATCTGTAGAGATGCATGAACGCCGACGTCAGCTAGCAAGGCACTTGATGGTGATAATGACTTATGAAGTTATCACAATGTACATAAGAAAATATATAAAGTAGCTCCGTAATTATGATTCTTCTTTTTATTTTTCACGTTCATCAGCTGTAAACTCCGTCGGAAAGTTCTGGTTGTTCATCCACTTCTGGATTGTAGTCCTATTCCAGAACCTTAGTGTAGCATGCACATCCGTTTTACGAATATGACTCTTAGGCAGATGCACTGCGACTTCGAGAGAGTCTGCCAATTATTTGACTCTTAGGACATGATTTTGGGCAGGCAGTGGGTCTATTCTTGTTTTCCCTATAACAGAACCCTGGAACCCACACGCGGAAATTAGGATTCAGTGTATAAAAGCTATACAGTTAATTAAAAGATTTTGTTTAAAAATGAAAAAAAAAAAAAAAAAAAAAAAAGAAAGAAAGAAAGTGCACACAGTTGAAAATATCATGGCTACAGTCAAACTTCGGTGTCCTGAACAGGGATTATGGAATCTGAATGTTTAGCCCCTTGAGTACAATCAGACAGATTTAAGGAGGTGAGTGGGTATGTGAGGGCGGGAGCTAGGGTACCTTAGAATGCTCTAAAATTGGCAAACAGCTCCCACAACCAGGTGAAGAACTTCTTTTTTTATGTGTATGTTTATATTCATTATATATTTTATATTTTTTTTCAAAAATATTATATTTATATGTCAATCAGCAAATTTTTATTGCTCTCTAAGACAAGGATATTAACATGCATACAAAAACAGCTGATAAATGCGATATTCGACCTAACGATAAACGAAATATCACAGCATATGAGGTAAGACGTACAAGAAATATAGTTAAAAAAAAACACAAAACAGTAAGAGACAAGAGTCACCGAAGAAGAACTAAGAACAAACAATTGTAGGCACAGTACTGGTAAATAATTTTATAGAACATCAACGAATCAAATAGTTTCGTTATCTGATCAGAATAGCATCAGCCAACAGAACAGCTAGAACATACTACATGAGTACGGGAGGCTACAAAACAAGAGGCCGACTAAGAAAGAGATGCGTGAAGAGAGTAAAAATGACGCTACAGAAATGCAATATGATATTAACAAAAGCTATACTTCTAGCAAAAGACAGGAAACTCCTTCTAACTCCTCTCTGCCTCTTTACGGCGTAAGTACTAGGACAAAAGACAGGAAACTACATCTAACTCCTCTCTGCCTCTTTACGGCGTAAGTGCTAGGACAAAAGACAGGAAACTACATCCAACTCCACTCTGCCTCTTTACGGCGTAAGTACTAGGACAAAAGACAGGAAGCTACATCTAACTCCACTCTGCCTCTTTACGGCGTAAGTACTAGGACAAAAGACAGGAAGCTAGATCTAACTCCTCTCTGCCTCTTTACGGCGTAAGTAGTAGGACAAAAGACAGGAAACCACATCTAACTCCCCTCTGGGACGCTTTACAGCTTAAGTAGCAAGACAAAGGATATCCTCTCTGCGAGGCTTTACTTTAACGGCATAGGGAGTGCGACAACAGAAGAGCGAAGAACAAGGATAAGGGCACTTGAGCTGTCATTATGTAAGGAAGCCCAAATTCTCCCCTCACTTCTTTTTTCGAACAACTGGTGATATCCTCTCCTCGGGTGTTGGCATAATGTGTGCGACAACATAACATGGCGAACAAGGTGGCACAAGCTGTCATTATGTATGGACTCAAAGTCCAATGCTGCTTTTTTAACTGCGATGTTCACCTCATGTTGGCGAATGTGGCACAAATAACATGGACGAAGTCTGCTTGCTACATAACATTTCTGTAGGTCACAAATTCAAATATTGCTACGTTAAAATATCACGTCTGTGTAACACAAATTCGAATATTGCTATGAAAAAAATTTCACGTCTGTGTGACACAAATTCGAATATTTCTAAAAAACATATCACGTCTGTGTAAAACAAATTCACATATTGCAAGGTAAACATATGACATATATGACACAAAGTAAGTAAGTAAATTGTACCCCAACAGGACATCACACAAGCGATAAAAACCCGGTAAACAAAGTGCCACCATGCAGATGAGGATCACCCGTTGAGAGGTCACACAAACCCCGTTCAGTCACTTAGGACATATTTATGGCACGGCCACATTTAGGGCTCCCGACAAAAGCCAGGATGGGGCTTCAAATTACATCCCACAAAGAAATGACGACAAGTATATGACTATGTGACACACATTTGAATATTGCTATACATACATATCACATCCGTTTCGAATATTGTTGCACAAAAGATAATTTTTGAATGAAACAAATTAGAATATTGTTAAATGAAAATACCAAAGCAATGTGTCCCCTTCATAAATTAAAATAAAGAAGACATAAAAAATAGATTGCACAATTTATTGTCTGAAATTTTTCACTGTATCTAGTCACCTTCCAGTATGGGTGGAAAAAGCAGTGCAAAGTAAAAATCAAAATGAGCATAACGGCCGTAAAGTTCATCCCTCTGCACGCAATCTTTCAAAATCTTGACACACCGTATCAAGAACAACGCATTTCAAATCCTTCACAGCTCAAACAATGGCATAACGCTATTATTTTTTTGAAGCTGCCGCTATTCGTTAGCACCACCCTGAACTTTGTAAACAAAAAGACATGATTCTGACACTGCGCTGCCCAGTTAAAATAGGCAGTTGTGTTTAATTATTGTTGAATTTGTACTTCAGTTATAAAAGAGGCCACAATATGCGTTATTTATGTAATTGTTACTATTTTATGCACATAAGTACAGCTAAATATGCCAGGCAAAAATGTGTGCAATCTATTGTTTGTGTCTTCTTCATTCAAATAAAAATATCATTTCTGTATGAAAAAATTTCTATAAAAGCTGCAGACGGTTAAACTCCCACCGCAGTGAATGCACAGGTCTTGTGCTTACTTACTAAACATTGTGACGAAGAAAACATCTTAATGGCACGCGTGGTGATGATAATTGTCGCTGCAAACACTGCAGTGTCACAAAGTTTTTACTACCATTGTCGAGCCAGTGATTATCCTGTTCACCCAGGTGACGTAAAAAACAAAACAAACAGGTGTTTAAAAAAATGGAGGTGGAAAAAAAGGAAATGTTGGGGGAAGCGCGGGGGGGGGGGGGGGGGTGGGGGGGGGTGATGATTGAAAATGACTTGGTTAGGATCTCCCGTTTTCAGCTCAAAATAGTAGTGGGATGTCTTGTTTTCATCTCAGAAATATTAGTAGGATGTCAGATTTTCTTCTCAAGATATTATGGTCAACGTAATTTTTAGAAACCAGTGGATAATTATGAATTATATTGTTGGTAGTAAAGTGACCACCTCTATCTCCCCTAACATTTTATGGCATTTATTTTAGGCTAGGTCGAACTGTGTGTGATACAAGGTCGGTTATATTTTAGGCTAGGTCAACTGTGTGTGATACAAGATCAGTTATATTTTAGGCTAGGTCGAACTGTGTGATACAAGATCAGTTATATTTAAGGCTAGGTCGAACTGTGAGTGATACAAGGTCAGTTATATTTTAGGCTAGGTCGAACTGTGTGTTATACAAGATCAGTTAAATTAAAAACAAAAAAAAGCCTACTGGGTGTGGATTCTAATCCAAGACCCTGGGACTGGCAGTCAAGGGACCAACCTGTGCGCTACCATAATTAACCTATCACCTAATGTGTATAACGTTGAATCTCCTGGGGGAAGACTGCGGTTCATATTTATTTCCCAAGTGGGAAAGCACATTAAAGAGTACTTCAGGAGTCAAACATTTCAGAGCACAGGATAATTTATGGCAGATATCAAAAGCACCTAATGTTTGAGGTAAAGTGCAACCTATTATAAAAGCTGTCAGGATTGAGCAATAAACAAAGATGAATGAGAGGAAACCTACTAGACAGTCTGGTTTATTGAACTAGAAGATGACAGCGACACATGGGATGGTGGATGTAAGAGGTAAGACGGGTGGCTGTAAAGGCACAGACGATGGATGTATAGGGAATTAAAGGACATGAGTAGGAGTAGGAGGGTGGGAGCAGAGGACAGGAAAAGGCTGGGTGCATAGAGCAAAAGAGGTTGGTTGTATAATGTCATTTTTGTAGGGGTTCTCAAGTGA